TCACTGTATACAGAAGTGCCCGCTTGAACACGGTAGGAGGCCAGACTCCACGAATCGTTTAAGATTTTTGCTTACGGTAGGTTGCGCGGGAGTCCAATGAATCGGCACACTGAGTAAGCAAAAATCGAAATTAATTCGTAGAATCTTACTTCTCAGCGTGTCCAAGCGGGCACATCTATATACGAAGATGCTCCGCGCGAGCTAGTCGAATGGTGTCCTGAAGCTAAAGGCAGTGTCTCGGCAAAATTTCGTTCTCCAGATTTTCACCTTTTCGAAAACTTCTCGCCATAGGGAACACATATCTGGGCTTTTCAGCGGCAGCGCATGAAAATGGCGGAAACGGGCTTCTTCTTTCCATGCTCGCATTCAATGTAGAATACGCGCGAGTGGGTGGAGCCCGGAACGAAGGAGGAGGGGCGCGAACGTACCGCAAGCCCTTGCGCATTGAATGCGGCCTTGAAAGCTTCGGAAAAAGCTCAATTTCGCTACTTTCATGCGCTGAAGAGTCCAGATATAGATTTCTCATGGCGAGAAGGCTCCAAAAAGGTGAAGAACTAGAAAACAGATCCTGCCGAAACACTAGCTCTAAAAATCCATCCACTCTGAAGCGAGGTATAACCACGCTACGGTGATATCACATGAATCGGAGTTTTTTTTTTTTTCAAAATTACGAGCGGTATTGCATTAGAGCAATTCGACTCTTTATTTTCTAGCCAATCACATCATCGAAGTCGATTTGTGCCCATTGGTCTAGAAAATTGAAAAAATAGTAACTATAATGCGTACTGTATTATTACATAGATCTTTGAGGAAGAGAAGCGCTAGGTTTGCATGCATGAAAATACACGCCGGAGAGGTCACGCAGGTCACAAAGAAGCTTCACTTCCGCTACGGTTCTGGATTTTTCGCTATCTTTGCGTCTTCCAGTTTTTACTATACTTCACTATTACACATTGAACCTAAGCCCATTGTTGTGTGAGCCGCGTTTTACAGCTTTTTGTAAGACCAGCGACCCTACGGGCTGCTAACTAGTGGATCTGGACAGATACAATATCATGTTTATGGCTAATGGCTACAAATACCTCTACATAAACTTCCTGCTCCTTTTCCGAAAACATTTTTGTAGAAAGCGTTTCAAAAAGGGAGAACTGCTCGGGTGGCGATAAACACAAGTCATTCAGAAAGCCCTGCCATTCCGAAAACCCTTCCACATCCATTTTTCTGTAGTCTGTGTAACAGATGCTGAAAGCATATTCATTGCAAGCTAAAAATGGTTTAGACGAGATCTTGGCTGACTTTTTACTCCATAGTTTGACGGTTATTTGAGGAAAATTCTCCTCGTGTTCGAAGGAGGAGGAGCCAACTCGCTTTGCAAACAGAGTCAATCACGTTTGAAAATGACCATTTCGCCTGAGAGGCTTTATACTCGGAAACCTTAAACGCTGAAACATCGTCCAGAGTAGTTTGACATTCTGATCACAAAGTTACTCATTATTCCTTCAGGGCCTCACGTCACGCATGCGGAGGTAGGCGATAACGCAGGGGGGGGGGAGTATACTGAGAAACTCCGTGATTTGGAAGAGGGGGTACATTGAGACATTCACTCAGACAATTACTGCGAGCATCCGGCCCCTACCGTCGTTTTTTGGCGGTGCGCAAGTGCTAAATTCTCGGACTGACCATCCGCGGCCCTAGATTTATTTGTTTAACAACCCGCGGCTCAGTGCTATCGAGAGGGAAAGGCCGCGAGCCATAACTGTTTTATCTGAACACCCGCGGCCCAAGACAAGACGCTCGGTCGAGCCCAGGGCCTTACAGGACGCCACAATCCTTACACGCTAGAAGCAAAAACGTTGCTTGCGTGAGATACGCCGCGGTGGCTGAGGTGCCATAAATGCTTTGGTCTTTGGTTATGTTCAGCTTATGACTAGCAACGAAGTCAGTGTGTTCTTATTCTTCTACCCCTCTATGGAGGTGTAGAAGAATGAGAAAACGTGTTTATAGATTTCTATGAAAATATTTCCGCGTTTAGCTGGTCCGTAGGGGTCACCCGCGGACGCATATCGCGCATTCATCGTTTGATTGCTGCTCAGACATTCGCCGTTGTCACCCGCAGGTGGACCGCCCACAAAATGGCTGATCGCACCAAAACCCGGTGCACCGGCGGGAGACATGAATTTGGTTTTGACCGGATTTTACTGCGATTTTGCCCCGACGCACGAGCGCATGTTTTAACACACCCGATAGCGCGCTCCAAGTAATCTTCGCGCTCATTCGAAACCAAGCACCGCGGAGAAAAGGATTTCGAAATACCGTCAGTCTCACTTATCTTTTCCCTTTTGATTTTGTTAGTTATTAAAGTTTATCGCTTTTCTAGCCTTTAATTCTTCTTGTTCCAGGGCGTTGTTGGTACGACATCATCTGGCAAAACGTCATTAGTACATCGATACCTTACTGGTACTTTTACGGCAGAAGATCCTGAAGGTTAGTGTTGCAGTTCTTCCTTTTCTTCTTTTTTTGTCGTTCTCCTTTCTTTTCCTTTTTGTCTGTTCAGCTAGAGGAAATGTTTTTTCTCTGAGATCTTTTTTTTGCTCTCAGACTGAATGCATTCTGCTCGGTTCATCTTTCACCTGTCTCAGATTTCGTCTGCTTCCCTTTCTGTATTTTGGTCTCGTTCAGATCTTCTCTTTTCTCCCATGCACTCTATGCAAAAAATGTCCCGTTCTGTTGCTTTTTTGGAATTCTTCCCATCTTTCGAAGATTTTTGAGTGGAATCTCTCTATGGAAATATCCGATTTCGGTCGTCTATCGAGTGTGTGGCAATTATTTGGAGTAATCTCCGTACTTGTTCTCATTTGCACATCCTTCTGCTCTTGCTTTCAACACATTCTTGAAGAATCGAAAGAATGCGGTCCAATAATTTACCTAGATAAATGCGTGTGTGCCAGTTATTCGTTCTTCACAAACTATCAAAACTTCGACAATATATGGCCTTAGTTCATCAGGGTCTGGTTTACGCTCGAAGTTTGGCCTCTAACTGGCCGTGTAAATCATTCAGTGATCAATCACACCTTTTCGATCGGTAGACAGTTGTCTCACTATTGGAATACGTGCACCATCTGATACGGTCCATCTTGAATACTTTTTGTTCCAAGAGAGTGACAACTGTCACCTCCGGGCGAAGTGTGTGGTCTCCTAAGCACACACAATGTGAACTACCCATTTGTTTCTGTTTATTTATTTTGAGGTGTTCTGCGCGTCACAAAAATCGTTAGTCTTTTTGATTCCAAAATGTCTTCAACGATGATGGCAAAAAGTTGCGCGTGTGTGTTTTTGAGCTTTGTCATCATATTCATCACTATATCTGGAAACAACGCTAGAGTACCATCTTATGTTTTAATGACTTGTTCGAATGGGTAAATCGTCGAAATTGATTGTAGGGTGCCTTGTGCTAATTAGCTCCTCAAGTGCCCGTAGGACTAATTGCTTAGCAATGCCTTTTGTCCGCTGTCGACCTTTTCTGCGGGATTCCAACTTATGCATCGATTTGGGAGCTGAAGTGGATAGATTGGTCATTTGGAGATTCGAAGAAAATGGGCGATTTTCTAGCAATTTACCATGCGCAAGTTCTGATTTGAAATATATGGACTTTGAATTGTTAGTATACTAATGGTCAATTTCATTGGCACCCTTTCTTCGACATTAGATGAAGTGGAATACGTCGACTAATAACAGTCAGTTTACGAAATAGCGTTGTTTATCTTTTTATGGATCTTTATGGAGTTTCTGAGAAAACTAATAAAAGAGATTGTGTTCACATAAATTTTGTATTGCTAGATGAGTATGAAACTTGGATCTATCTGTAAGCATCGAAAATGCGAGAATGACTAGCACTTTTTTTGCCAAATTCGCACAAGTATTTTCCAACGAGCTCAACCGCCATCGTCTACAAATTTTTCAAGACTTTTGAGCGGAATAAGACTTTTAAGTTAATGGTACGAGAGTAACTGTGGTTTTGTTGAAGACTTTTTTGTGAGTGAGAATGATGGAGTTTTTTCTTTTTTTGTGTGTAATTTGGCAACTGAGGCTACATTTAGAAGTTCTAGTCGACTGAGCTTTTTTGAAAGAAAAAATACCTTTTAATCACCATCTACGCATCTCTTGCTTACCACATTTTTCATATTGTCCACACATCTGCTTCTAGCTGGTGTTTAGTGTAAGATGAGAACATGTTTGAACTGTAGCCGCATGGCGATGGTTCGCGTTCCTTCTGGTCACAATCTGTTGCCCACTGTTGAACTTCTGTTGACATTCTGATGCATCCCGCTGACTGCGCATCACGTATCGTCCACCAGTCTTCACAGCTTTGTTTATCGAGTCAGCTGGCAGTCAGCATTTGCTCTATCTGTTCTTTTGTGACACCTAACTCTAGCTAAGTAAATGCCCAAATCTTGCGCTTGAATCTGAAGTGAAAATTCATTCGCTTTATATGGTAGAAGCGGAGGAGGTTCCGCCCATCAACGTAGGCGTTTGAAGTTCAAAATTAGGTTCAGATGAGTGCACAAGTGTCGAAAGCTTAGTCATGGTATGAGGGGCAGACTTTTGACAGTTTTGGGCATTTGAAGCCCAGTTTTGGACTTGTGTCTTTCGATCACCATGTTGATGGGCGGAGCGACCCCTCCGCTTCGACCTTCTGGAGCCATTTTCTCGCTTTGAAATCTATCTTTTGCAGCGAAACTCGGGTGTTTGCTCAGTTAGAGAACCTGCTATTGTACCCTATCAAAAATCTTGCCAGCTTTAATTTGGATGCGTGGTGCCTTCAACCACCGATATTCCCAAAAATATTCATTGTATGAATTTTTACGCGCGACACTAATTGCATCATCGCCGAACATTTCAATTTTTCTTTCCAGTTCTCCCTTTGGGCGGATGCAGTGATTTTCGTCTACAGTGTCGACAATCAAGAAAGTTTTGAACGTGTTCGACACTTCTACAGTCATATGAATAAATTTCGAAACGTTGCCGATATGCCTGTCTTATTAGTTGGTACTAAGGTAAGCATTTCTCAAAGGCAGCGTCTAGGCAGAACTGGACCTAAGGGGATTTTGCGTGGAAAGTACTTTTGGGGTTCTAACTAAGGCACTGCCCAAGCGGCAGCGCAAGTAGTGCTCTAAAGGTTGAGATATTCCCCTCGAAACTGGACCCCGCGATCGTATTTGCATGGATTCATGGCAGTTTCGCGTCAGAACCCACGCTTTGCGCCATGAATCCATGCGAAATACGATTGCGGGGTCCAGTTTCGAGGGGAATATCTCAGCCGTTAGAGCACTATCTGAGCTGCCGGTTGGGCAGCGGCTTAGTTAGAGCCCCAAAATTACTACCCACGTGAGATCCCCATGTGTCCAGACTTGCCTGGACGCTGCCTTTAAGATTCCCGTTCTCGTAGCTCATCAGCACACTTGAATCCTAAGAACTGTTTTCATGCCTTCGCCTAGCCGTTTTTTCTCATAAAGTACCTCTTAGGACACATTATTGGAGAAAAATCCTCGCGTAATTAGCGAAGAAGAGGGCAAGCAGATGGAAAATCACTTGAAACGTTGCGCATACTACGAAACATGTGCGACCTATGGATTAAATGTGGAGCGGGTTTTCAAAGATGGTAAGTCCATTTTTTCTACAGTAGCCGGTAAAGTATAGTGTACAAAAAACCACTTTTCCTTCGGAATCTATTTTGGGTTGCTGAGTAAGAGATAATTGCGTAAAATAGCGCTTGCTCTTTTTTTTTGTAATTTAATTCGTATTGTGCTACACTGAAATTTTTTCTATGGAACTTTGCGTGAGTTGCGCAGATTCTCACCTAGATTGGTCTGAATGCAGGTACTGCCTTTTCTTTTACTTCAAAACTGTTGAGAAAATACTTGTTAGAAACATGGCTGAGTTGCTTTTTATTCCAAAGAATGTCGACGTCTTCTTGAACACTTTTCCTCCTTTTGCAAAGTTTAGAGAAGTTGTACCTTCCTAAAGGTCTGGTCTCTTATTAGCTAGGTCGCTATCTCTTACTATCTAGATCGCTATCAGACATCCTCTACGTATAAATAAATCATGCTTATGTTTTGATAAATCGCTTTCTAAACCAAATAGTCACAACAGTTGTGCTTTTTCCAGGTTACACTTTCTTATCCATGATGCTGAAACTCAGTCTGGAATCTTTTTTGAAGATGAGCTATTGTCTTTTGATTGTGAATATCTACTGGGCCTGACTTCCTACTGTATCAATTAAGGAAGATGTCATATGCATTATAGTATATATTTTTTTTTATTATATCATGCAGTGATTTTCAGGTACGTATATCTTTTTTCTGATTGGCGTATGCCGTGCTCATACGACAGCGTTTGGTTCAAGCGCACCCCGCATAATGGCGCATGCCATACTTGATCCCCTTGATCCACTTCAACCACTTCGCTTTTGGTGAAATGCGCACCAAGTGGATGAAACGGATCAGGTATGGGCGTGCGATAGTTTTTTTAAAGAGGACACTTTTACAACGATGTGATGTTTTAGTAGGTTCGTTGAAAGGTTCTAAGTCGAGGTTTTTTGAGATGTCGCATTTATGTTCAATCATTTATGGAGCTTGTAGAAGCCATTTTCTACGCTGCCGTTCAGCGAGTGCTCAAATCGAGCTATATCTCATTTTACTTCATTCCGTTCTGTTCATCATTACTTATGGAGAACTTTACAAAAAACCAAACAAACGGAAACAAAACAACAATAACAGAAACCAATGCAATCCTAATTAAAATGCAAATCAAGATGAAGAGTTTACCTCAGTTATTTATAACTTCTGTAGAGGTTTTACACCAGTTTCTCCAGGCAAATATCCATACTGTGGGAGATGTACATATTTCCCGCCATATTTCTAAGCTTGGTTACTGTCAATTTCAGCTGTCGTGCTGTTTCCTTCTCCTTCCACCGACCTTCTCTGGAACTCTACCGGGTGCACCGTGTTCGGTGAAGGAGTACTACACAATTCGACGCACTTTCGGGAAAATTGTATACACTGGGCATCCCCGCGCAGTGTGCAGACTTACATCCAAACTGCTAATGACTCGTTCTAGCTGTTTTCATATCTAGCTTGTGAGCTGCACAGTCACATATCCAATGAGCTTATGCACATTAACCACTTATTTCTCAGTTTGACGCAGCATCTCCGCTTTTTATGCTCGTTTTCGTGCTCCTCTTTCTCCAAGAAATTGTTTGGTTGTCCTAGCTGACTGTTTCAGTATCGATGGAGGAGGAGGATGAAACAATTAGACGTTTCTCTAAAAGAAGCAGACATGATCTAAACGGTGGTTATACAATCTCCAAATGTTTTCATGCTCTAGGAAGTAGCTTATTCAGAGGATGTGCCTCATATATTGGATCCCAAACGGATGCGTATTCATCCAAGTGTTACTTCCACGACATCTTCACTGTTTTCTGAGAGACTGGGTGAAAGTAGTAGAGATCAAGACTCCGATCGCACCCATCATTCTTTGGCAAGCATTGGTGAAGCACAGGATGTGGAAGTCCAATCCCCACATGCAGTTGTCGCTGGACCACATGCAACGCAAAATTTGCCGTGTAGCGAGACACTTGTATATATGGCAAATTTTGCGTTGCATTTTGGCGTGACAAGCGCAATGGAGAGCTATTTGGATGATCTCCAAGAATTGAGCATTGCGTCTTCGGCAAAGGTGTGTTACTCCAAACGGGCGTTCAAAATGCACAAGCAATTGTATTTCAGTACACCTTCAAATCTGATGTCAACTTTTTGAAATCCGAACTTTTCCACCCCTACAAGTACACCCATTATTACTTCTGCAATGGATGCTCTGGACCTCTAAGAGACCAAACATCCAAGTGCAACAAGGCTGGATGCTGTTTGAGAGGGTTTGACGCTGCACCTAAACATCGATTTGGTGCTGATCATAACTACTGCAGCTTGACGCCCAAAAGATCTCATCTTGCCAGGAGAGCTTCCCTTCATCTTGTTAATATAGCTCCACAGTTGCTCCTCGTCTTGAGAAACACAATTGATCAGCTCGTGGAAACGCACAAGCACATTCATGAGGAAGTTTGTGAAGCCCACTTGTCGAATCTTTGTCTTGCGTTATTTTTGTTCAGACGGCTCATGCATTTCTTAGTGAAACTTCGGATTTCGGGTTATATCGAGAAGATATGGAAACCCATGAAGAATTTTCGTCAAAACGTTTGAATGTCATCTTGACTCTGAACACAGATGGGGTAACATTTAAGAAGTTGACCAAGTTAGTGTTTGCCCTATGTCTACCTTAGCCAAACTAGAATTTTGAGGTCACAGGCATGGCCCTTGTATGTACGATTGGAAGGTCTTGCTCACGCTCAAAAAAATTCTTTTGAAAATATGATTCTCCCTGGCATTCTTTTCACAAGCAAAACTCCATCGCGTGTTATGCTCGAGCATCTCTTATCTCGGTAAGCGTCATCACTCTCCATCCTAGAATTTCGCCAGCTTTGTCGTTTAGTTTCAAGCGCGAACTACTAGCTCTGAGTGACCAAGGCCTGGATATCTCTGATCGGCACGGCTCTGTGTGGAAAGTGACTCCCATTCTCAAAAACGGGATAGTGGATTTCAGTGTACGAACTGCAGTGGTTATACCCCAAACTTTCAGTTTCATACGTCAGGCTCTTCACATATTGTTTAATTCGCCGGTTTGGAATGCAGAGCACGGATGTCACTTGTGCACGTTTGCGGGGTTGAAGGTGGAAAACAGGATCGTTTGGTACAATGAAAATGCTAGCCCAGCTATTCGTAGAACAAGAGCTTCCATATTGCGAGACGCTTCTGCCGAATTGAATGGACTCTCCGGTTAATAGAATCTTGTTGGAAATTTCGATTGACAGGGTTTATTCAGGAAGGACTGAAATGATGAATTTGCTCACCATGGAAAGGTTCCGCCCTGACGCTCTCCACTTAATATCTGAAGGAATCACAAATGATCTTTTCCATGGTATGTCCGTGCGTCAAGCCAGTGTTCATAGAAAGTGCTCACTTCAATTCAGAACTATTCCAAAGTGGAGCGAAAACGGACGTAATAAGTGTTAAGCAAATTCACAGAAGATCTGTGAGTTTAGCACTACAAGGTACACCCAACATAACATATGCAACCAGGTTCATTCTTGGTTTGGAAAATTTTTCGAATATGACAGGAGCAGAAAGGGACACTGTGCGTTATGCTGCATTTGCTCCAAATGTTGTAGTTCACAAGTCTCTTCCAGCTAATGTTTATACTCTTTCCTCTTGTGGCTGCGGAGAACTTATGTCGCAAATCAGTTGGTTCTGTCTGCATACTCATCTACTGGCTCCTAGTCCGGGTTCTTGCGAATGTTGAGGAGTTTCGCTCCGAGGATACAGAAACAGCGACCTGCCTTGCACAAGCTATGAAGGACTTGTGGAGCGGAATTTCGAAGAAGTTGTTTACTCTCAAGCTTCATGTGAGAATTCCGCACATCACCCACTACTAAAGTATACGATGGAACTCCTTTCAGTGTTTACTAGATCATAGTGTCTTGGAAGACCTTACTTTTTGCGGATCGCCCTTTCTATGGTCGGCTGCACCGTTTGAAAGGATGCATCAGCAGTTACAATCTCGCATGGTGCAAAAGAAAACCAATTGCGAGCAGTCTTTGATCGAAAAGTACTGTGAATATGCATCCAGTTTGCTGACACTATAGTCGTCTATTTTTAGTTTTGTTTTGCATAAAGAGCTTTTGAGCCTTTCGGCGCAACATGCAGAACGCACTCAAAATCCCCTTTTCATGAGAATGCATCTCAAAATCTCTGGAGGGTCGATGAACAGGTAGCGTGGGTGACTCCTTGTCTCCATGTTCTCAGTTCATTTCTCCATCTGTCTCAGATTCCCTGTGCACGTGCAACTAAACGAAAACTGGTACGTCCCTGCTTCCTCGGACTTGAGTCTTGAAGATTTGATGCCAGAACATCAGTTGCTTCTGAGTTCGTTAGAAGGCTGTTCACTTTGGTATGGCTAACCTTGTTGAATTTGTACTCTCTATCTAACTCCAATTCTAGTTCACGTCTGTGTCATAACCAGCAAGTGTATTCTTCTCAAGACTACTGGACACGACAACGGACCACGATGCAACACTGCGTCTACCTCAAAGTTGAGAACTGTGTAGTGTTCGGAAACGTGGTGGCCTTCGCATACAACTCGCACGGAACCTGTCATGTCCTTCTCGAGGAGTATTCTGTCACAGACCCCTTCACTAGATTAGAATTTGCTGTGCACAATGAGCAAAATCAATCAAGAGAAGCTGCTATAAGATGTCTTGACTTAGTGCAAATTTTCAATAGATTTTTTTATCTATCGACTGGAAAGCAACTCAAGCTGCGCGATGCTTTTCAAATAAATTCTGCAGCAACATTTATAGACTTCAGAGGAAGGCGGTATCTTTCTAAGTTTTGACTTACATGTTGAGTGGATCCCTGTATATAATCACTTTGTTGTACTGTTACTTTGTTTTGCATCTTGTTTTTATGGGAATACTGATAAATATCTTTCTGTTAGTGTTTCAAAATGATTTGCGGTCTGTAACCGCCTCATATCTTTCTTTAAGTTCTCCTTTACGAAGAATTATAAATTTTAGCATTTTCGTAGATATCTTGACACCATGTACTCTGATGATGAAGAATACACTCCCAACTATCTAAAGCTCCCTACTTCCCTCCTCGGTAAGATCACAACATTCCTGCTTTGCTATATTTTGAAACCAGAATTTCAGAAGAAGAAGAACTAAACGTAGACAAAGAGAATTTAACATTGAGCAGAGGCAAAAAGGATCGCTCTAAGGGTTTAACGGGTATACAAGAAAGATCTTCTATTCCGGACATGCAACAGTCAATAGCCATGCCCACCTGCTCTACAAGCTCTTCTAATCCGGATTTGCATTCACTACCTATGCCCACCCGCTCTACAAGATCTTCTAATTCGGACTTGCATTCACTACATATGCCCACCTGCTCTACAAGATCTAATCCGGAGTTGCATTCAGTAGCTATGCCCACCTGCTCTTCATCCGCAGGTTGTCCTTAACTTTTTTCTCCCACAAAGAAAGATTTAGGAAAAGCTTTTTTAGTGGCTCTAAAACAAACTTTGGGAGAGAACTCGCTTTCACTGTCAAAACTTGGAAAAATCGTAAGGCAATTTGATCTCGGAGTGGAAGATGAGGTGCCGCTTGATCGAATGTTGAGGTCGTAAGTGTACTTTTGCATTTAGGAGTATCTCAAGTCGGCAATGGCGAACAACAACATTAAGATTAACATGGATCACATAAAGAAGTTGCAGTCTAATATTGATGGTCTGCAGACTTCCTCCGACTCAGTGGTGCGCTCCCTCACCGCAGTTGTGAGGGAACAGGCTAATGTTATAGCAGGGATGTCGCTAACTGTAAGCTAATACACAAGGGCCTGAGAAGCTTTTGATGATAGTTTTTCAGATGAATATTCTTATTATAAGGCAGAAAGAACTGGAAAAGGAAATGAAGAGGACTTCATACCACATGGCGAGAAGTAAAGAAAAAACATTGCCACAGGGATATAATTTCGAAAGGAGCAACATCTCTAGAAACTGGCAATTGCAAGCTTCCCCACCGTTCAAGGTTTTTGAATATCAAATAAAATACACGAAAGGCATTGTATTTTTAGGAGCTGAATATGATTGAAGTGTTAGAAAAATGGACGAAACCTGCTCGCGCCCACAAACACGATCACTTTTTGCATGTTCTTGATTTTCTTAGACACTATTTCATCAATGTAAGCGATCACTGCTAAATGAAATCTTGCCTTACACATAATTATTTAGGCTTGTGAACCGGTAGAGGAGATACAAAAATATGCATGTAGACAAACTGGGAAAAAAGGAAAAGATGATAACCTAAAGGACCTACCAGAAAGCATTGTGGATTTTCTAACAAGTAGGTTGTCCTGTACATTTTGTATATCAATTCGAATAAATTATTCAGGGTTTGTACTGGATGCTCTTGGGTTGCCGGACAGAGAACTTTTACAATCTGCATCCGAATACGAACGCAATCCGGACAGGTAAGTCCACTTTTGGAAGGCCTTTCATGCACTATTAATTTAGGTGGTGGTTGAACCTGGGTACGAATAACGAGGAACGCAGACGGAAGTACGACAATCTTTCGGAAGCGCGGATGACTTGGATTGCACGCACACGCATGGCCATGGGAAGAGCGCTGTGAGTTACATCAGTCTAAAGCAAAGGTGACAATTGACCATTACACCTATTTAGAACGGATGTGCGTGCGTACCATCTCGATGCTGACCGAGGAACTCTGCTGGCATCGAAGGTAAAACTTTCTTCCTCAGAATTTACGCTGTTGATGCTGATGATGTTTTTCAGAAGAAGCGCCCCTGCACATCTGACGTGACTGGCTTGAACGTCATCCAAAAAACGGACGCCGACATCGCAGAAACGGATGCCAACGACACACATTAGATCATATACACATTTTCAGTTGTGTTTGTTGTCAAGTGCTTTCTCGATGTAGCTTATTTGATTTTGCCCTGATGCAGAGTTTTCCTTACTATGAAGAAGTTTTATACACAATTCCAGTTGTTTTTTTGTCACTGCTTTCTCGATGTAGCCTATTTGATTTTGCGCTGATGCAGATTTTTCCCCACCATGAAGTTTTCAATAAATTCTATGGCTTGATTTGTAAGTGACAGTGAAAGAAAACAGCACGGTGGAAGTGAAACACACAAGTATAGACCGTAACTCTGTACTTGTGTGTTCCACTCCATACTTACGCTATATATATATTATATACATATATATGTATATATAATATATATATATAATATATATATATATATATACCTACGAGGGTGAACCACAGCTCTAAGGATCGGGGCATTATGGTGTCTCCCGCAGGTCACCCCGATAATGACCGGAGAATGCCGTGTCGGGGCATTATGGTGTGTCCCGCAGGTCGCCGCGCTGCAAACACAGGTGACCTGATTTTGCCCCGACACCGATTTCGTGTGACGCGCCGTTGGTCAATGAGATCACACCATTTTAACCTGCGGGTGACAACCGCGAATGTCTGAGTGGAACATCGGCGGGTTTCGTTTGGGCACTTATCGGCGCGTCCGCGGGTTGATTTCGTAAGCTTAACGTGCGTTTATTCTACTTCCCGCGGCATAGATGAAACGTCGATCGGCGCCCTTCGGGTGGTCGCAATAATTGTCTGAGCAGGGGGAGTCGTATCCGGCGGTCGCACACCTCTTGTTTGACCCTGGCTATCAGTTACTGCCTAGACGAGGGCATATGTCAGAAGATCATTTGCAGATGCGCACTTTTTTACCCCATTTTCTGAAGTGTAAGGCTCACCTGTGTATAAGGCGCACCGTCGGGCGAATATTAGTGCGAAGGGTGCGCCCTAGGTTTTGTAAGTTGAGCTGTACTTTGGTAGTCTACTTTTCTATACTTCACCTGAATTAATTGCCAAATGGGCGATTCACTGCTAACACAGTTTTCGAATAGCTTCAACGATTTGACTAGATGTAGACATAAACGAAACTCAGTAACAGCTATTGTATGAGTTTCAAAGGTGATGACAGTACCGGGGTCTGAGTGTGAAGTTTCTGTTTTGCAGACTACGATGAATTGAAGACAGAGCAGATTATTCCACCAAACCATGGTCACGAGCAATTGAACAAAGGACGAATGCAGAAAACTGTTAGGAAAAGTTAGACCCTGCCTTTGCGGCGTGCATATCGCATGCGTCATCACGAATCTGCCAGCGTGCGGTGCACAAAAATGCGCCTTTTACTCCAAAAAATTGGGCAAATTGGTGAAGAAGAAAGTATTTTGATATTCTACACTAGCACTTTTGTAAACTACATGTGCAGTGCACAGTAAACATTTCTTTTGGAAGCTTCACTACATAAAAAGAAGTCGCCCCCCCCCCCCCTCTCGAGAATGGGTGGTGAATGTGCAAGTAACTTGTTTATGTTTGTGAACAGTTCTTCAAAATATCTAAAAGTTTAAATTAGCCGCTACTTTTCCGTTATCCGGACCCATTTTTTAGAGACTCACATAAAATATGCTCTTTAGTCTAAGAACGATTTTTCTTATTGTTAGGTTCTACGAAGACTGCCTCCCCGCCACGTGATAGGAAAAAACTAACACGTTTTAGTTCATTTAGACTTGTTTTTTCAAAACCATTTCCGGTGAGGAAGAGGAGCATTTGTGATTACCTAAGAGCCTTTCAACCGGTTTCTATGAGAGCAAAACCGTCTAGAACTTATCGCAGAAATCTTGATTGCTTTCAGCAATAGCAAAATTGTCTTCCTCTTCAAACTTTCCGCCATGCGAACTTATCCAAAAGAGACTATAAATGATGGCTTGCAGTATCTCTCTGCTCTTGGTTTGTCGCTTGAATAGAGTCTTAGCGCACTTCTCTATTCTAGGCAGGTCTAATCTGTGCAAAGATAACAGGATGACGTTGTTATTATAACAATGTACATTTTTGAAGCTGTTTATTTGAAAACAGGATCATTATTGACTATAATAGCAGATTGAACATAAGTCGCTAAGTAGCGCAACACAAACCCTTGGTAAAACATGGTAAACATGTAGATGGCATGTCAAATGTTTTTGACATGTGGCAGAAAGTTGACACTTCTTCCTGCGAATTTAGGACCAACTAGTTGGCAAACCCGGCTCCGCCCGGCCCTGTTAATGACATATTTGTAATCAGCGTGCTCGATTACCCCCCCCCCCCCCCCCTGTGCCAACTTCCAGCCCCGCAGCTCAAATTTTGCAAAAAATCGATAAAATCGATATCGATCGATAACGAAAAGTAGCCTATGACACGCTCCCCGCCCCGAAGTATATGTGTGCCAAGTTTGGTCCGAATCGGTTCAGAAATAAAAATTTCTATTCCGCACATACGTACACACAGGCATACAGACATACATACATACAGACATTCAGCTTTATATATAAGATTATCGTGCAAGGTCGGAAGAAATATCCTTTTTTGAAAAAAATGAGTCCGGATAACGGAAAAGTACCAATTAGCCTTATAAGAGTTTTCTTCGGTTGCGTGGGCTTGGGGTTATAGGGTCTCCGAGATTTTGAGGGGCGTCCAAAGAAATTTTTGGTTGCTTGACAAAGACCAAGCATCTTCATTCAAAAAATTTTCCGTCCTTTTGACCAAGCGCAGAACGGAAATCTTGCAACCGCCACTGTTGAGCAGCAATAAGCAGGATCTGTGACTTTGCGCAAACTTGTAATAGACAATGAATAAAGCTTTGACATGCGTTTGCGAAGGTCCACAGTCAATTTCACCGAGTATTGCACAATAGACATGATAAAATAAACATAACAAAACACAAGCTTTGCAAATGAAGCAAAAGCGTATAGCGCGTGAGCATCTGGCGTTTTAGATCATTGTTTTTATTGCCATTTTTTTTCATCTAGCGTGTTTGCAAACTTACTTGCCAACTGGCAAGTGGTTGACTGTGTATTAGTTTGACTCCAGCTTTTCATAACAAAATGTGTGGTCAGACAACAAATTACCATTTAGTTGCGCATATAATGTGTTTTCCAAATATTAGGTTGGCACATAAGTTCTGCAACTTATTTCGTAACTTTTCTGTTTTTGACTGCGACGCATTCATTTTTAAGGATAATGCAGACTAGATAGTAGGCTACAAGCCTCAGCAAACAGTTTAATTTTTGGTGGCAAAATGGAGAAAATTCGCTCATTTTTTAAAAGCTGATCAAACCCGACATTTCAATGGTCGGAAAACCAAAAATAATGCCGTTCTCAGTCTGAATAAAACAAATCAAGCCGAAACACTGTAGATGATCAGAGTTTTCTCTATCAACAATCTGGGTACAGTTTCGGCTTGATCTGTTTGATTCAGACTGGGAACGGCTTTAATTTGACTTCCCAATGAATTTTAGGTTTGTAGCCTACTATCTAATCTACATTACGCCCGATAATGAATGCATCACAGTCAAAAAGAGTAAAGTTACAGAACAAGTTGCAAAACTTATGTGCCAATCAATTGTATAGTCAAGCCCTTCTCGAAAGCGTCCTCACTCTGGTGAACTTAAGGAGGCATACTTGAGTGATCGTATCCGGTAAATGACTGAGTATATCACAATGCTTGTCGTATACCCATCCATGTCAACATCTCAGAATTAAACTATTCTTTATTGTTTATATGACTAAGGTTTTGATAACAGAGCAATCGTGTACTACCCTGTTCAAGAAAAATGATTGGTTTCGAAGCATCGTACAACAGAATGGTCAAGTTATTTTCATTTGGTAATAATTGCTTTCCATACAAGTGACTTCAAGATGGAAGAAACTACTGTTTTATCGAGGGCGTTAACAGAAAGAATTGCGTTATTGAACAGACTCCATACTCACAGTCAGAAGCCACACTTAAAGTGGCAATTGTGTGTATGTCCAGGCGTTATGAAGCAGTATGGCGTTGTCAACCATACTCGCAAATGCTAAGCTTAGTGTAAGAGAACTAACTTCGCATTTATAGGCAGCCCTCGCAGAAAAGGTCTTTAAATGACATCTAACAAAATTCTGAAACGACCAGCTGTCCGCGAAAGAGGTTTGTAATTGAAGAGCTTGTTTTTGTTCCTCTACGGGTAGACTGCAAGCTAACACAGTGTGCGCCAGCACGCTCTCTACCTTCCAATTTCTAGCGATACGGTTAAATCGACCGTCAATATTTAAGGGCTGAATCTACGATCTTTTGTGAACGTCAATCAGTTCTATCTTACATATCTTACGATGTTCAAGCAGCACGTAGGGCATGTCCTCATTGCCAGAATTTTGCCATCTGTCAGCATTTGTTTGCAACTACTGCTCTCTGAAAGTCTGCATTTCTCGCTTTCTCTTTTGCAAAAACTCTTGATGAATTGAGCTACAGATGTAAGTTGCATACGGAAAGACTTTTGCAAAAACTGTGGCTATACAGATAATCTTACCATAAACATAATAGATCAAAGCTAGAAGTCACTTTACTCATAAGCAATAGAAATATGTGAGTACTATCACTTCTGATCGGTTACTTTGTCGTGCCTTGCTCAACCACAGAGTCCACCAGAACCGCATGATCCAGCTCCAAAAATGTAACACTCGGAGCACACGAGGCCAACATTGTACATTGGATTGTTGACAATGTTCCCACTAAAATACAACAATTATGTCCTTGGAAAAAAAGAACTTTGTAGGTGTTTACTTTGGCCGGTAACGGCATGATAGTACGTATTCATCACCACACTTAGCAATGGAGCAACCAATCTCTCGAATTTGAGCCCAACCCATCTTAACATTTAGCATTCAACAAAGCTTCCTGGATTTCAACGCTGAAATGATTTTGACGAATGTTTAGTGCTTACTCGAGTGTATGATTCTATGGGAGTGCCAACGAGTGATTCTGTAAAAACTGCACTTGAACCGGGGTTAGGATAGTTTTGGTATACATCCCACCACACCCTGATTGTCTGAAAGCATGAACAGTATTTACAATAATCCAGCACAAGCTTACCTTTATGGTCATTTCTTTGAATGTAGATATATCGCTGGTGATGGCGGCGCGATAAAAGTTATCGACTGGACTCAAGCAGGTTGGTTCTATATATCCTTCTGTAGGACATTTAGCTAGATGATCGTGAGCCTCCTTTTCCAGAGCACAAGACCATACCTGCAATTTTACAGCTTGCAGACACTCAGTGGCCGTTTTTGTTGAGAAAGTAAATGAGCGCAATAGAAGTTTCAAATAACTAACCAAACGATTCATGTTAGTAGCAGAAGGGAACATATTTCCATTATATTTTAGCTGTCCTCTCGCAAGTTGAGCTCTAAACATGATTGAGTTATTTATAAGCTAAGAGATCAACAACACTTAACGATAAACATTAGGTCGGCCAATAAATGACCTGGAGTGAGTTAGAAAATTTATCGTCATTATTTCAGGTAATTGTAGAATGCTGTCTGACTGTCTCTCCTTCCTCGTTCCGTACAACAGATTTTTATAATCGAATATGTACATAAGCTTTTATGGTGAGTGCCAAAATCAATTCAAGTGTGTCTAATAATGAAAAGTCACAAGTTGCAGGGGCATTGCAAAGAAACGTATACCCCCTTAGTATAACACACAATCTTCCCCTAAACATTTGAAACTTTGGATTAATATCGAGCTAGAAGAGAATGGAAAGCCTCAGGGGGAACGGACAAGCCCAACTACGACTTTACATAGCAATTCGTAGACGTGAATTCCTGGAGTTCCGAAGCCAGTTAGGTCTCATAAAACGGATTGTGTCTGCTGAGATGAAGTTAGCTTCCAATTCGACAGTATCTGCTCTGCTTCAGATTTCAGCATGATAGTAACCAACATGGAGCTGAATGTGCTGATCACAAAAAAACGCATCAAAGGCATCAAAGCTGGATAAGTGCCTTTAAATCGCTTTTCCAACGTATCGAAAACGAAGCTTTTGGGATGAAAGAGCAGAAGGAACTAGATTTGAACTTATAAATTAGGTAGCGTGACGGAAGTCCCGCGCAGTACGCCACGGTAAATTGTGTTTTTTGTGTCACTAGAAATCTGGTGGAAATTCAGGCGTTTTTCTACTACTCCTCGGTATGCTTCTCAAAAACTGCTGCATTTGAAGAAAAGCGCTGTCAAAGTGCTTTTCATACTCGTCCTTGCTTGTAGCTATTTTCGAAATTAAACTTCCTCAGACTTATTGCGGCCACTGCACTTTGGCAGCGGACCTAAATTCTTTGGTTGACCATCACCAATCTTAGATTAATTTGCTTCGTGATCCGCGACTCAGCGTTACTGCGAGGGAAAGTTAACCAGCTCCAAGCTGTTTTATCGGAGCTCCCGCCACCCAATGAAAATACTCGGGCGAGCTGCTGGCTTTAAAGGACGCCTTGCATTAGGTTGCGAACAAGCTCCGGCCTTTTAAGCCACGGCCCGACAGACTCACTTTGGCAAGCCCCGGCCTTGCTGGACGCCGCAATTCTTGCATGCTTCAAAACTAAACCGCTGATTGCGTAATATACGCCGCGGTGATACGCTACCCTCAGCGTTCGCCGCTTTAGCTAGAAGTAAAGTCCTGGCCATCGACAGTGCATCCGATGACCACCCACTGAAATCCATAACTCTGGAACCAGGGGCGAAGGGAAGACCGAAAGTAATTCAGACGTCGTCCCCCATTTTGTGTAGATTGCGGCCTTTATGCCAGGTTAGAGTCAAAAACTGATGTATAAAATCGTTAATAAAACAGATACTGGATGCGAATAGGGTTTGCCGTAATTTGGGTTTTTGGCGGGTGCTCGCCATAGTTTTTCGATTCAGAACAGCTTTTCTTAAAATTTCCTCAAACCTATAATCTGCTGGTTCGTATGAAGTTGAAGCGCTGCGACAGAGTGAAATCACGATGGGTAGCAGTAGGTAGCAGTAGCGTGCCCAGGATTTTCATCCGGGGGGGGGGAACAAAAATTTGTTTGGTATGCTTAGTGAAGTTTTTGCGGGACCCCATAATCCCGAAGTTTTAGAAAAAGGTTCGTGGCTGCCGCCACGCCGCCCGAAAATTTTTTTATAGGCTACTCTTATAGTCTTATAATGATATATTTACAATACGGCTTAATTTGTGGTAAATGACCACGGCGGCTTCCACCTTACTTTGGTATCTGCCGCGGATTATTTTACAACTACGAGCGGTATTGCGTGTCGACTCCCAATTTCATTTAGAGGCGGGTTATGGACTTTCTCCGATCACAACGATGAACGTGATGAGCCTCCGTTTCTCACCAACTTTAAAAAGAGCGGAGCTTATGTGAATTCTACAAAACGGATGTACTCTTCCATTCAAAAGGATTGGCGGTTGGAAGGTGACGCCTCGAGGCCTAATCAAGGTTAGGGAATGGTCAAAGAGCAGGCTCATGAAAAACGCGGACTGCGTAGTGGGTGCGAGCGGTCGCGTTCTAGTCACCAATCTCGTTGAATCAAAGGGTAAATGGTAAGGCAAAGGGTAGAGGGGATACTCAGGTGCGTGTAACCAAGTCTTTACATAGAGAACTCCATATAAGTTCAACTGGCTTTCTAAAGTTAGAGACTAATCTAACTAACTGCTGACGGCAGTTTTGCATGTCTGACTGTTCTCAGCGCCAAACCCGTGTAGATTTCGCGCATTTCTAAAACGAAGACCTCCAGCACTTTGCAGGGTCAATTCGAGGTTCTTTTTGAAGTATTATAAAAAGCCACAAAAATCTATACAACGAGATAACCATTCGTTTTAGAAACGCGTTTAGACAAGAAAAGCATTAATCTGCATAAAATTTTAGCAAGACAAAAGCACTATTGGTGAGAAATCAGGAGCTTTAGGCAGATATTTGCAAGCGTTCTCTCTGTATCACGGGATCTCCAGTGTGCCTCTGCTGTTAACGTTCCGACTTTCACCAAACTTGTAATACGATACATTTTCGGCCAGCTATTCGTCACTCAGAGTCATTTTGAGTCACTCAGCTCATCCCGCGCTGAGCCTTACGAGGGTATTCCTCCTATTGTCTACAGGAAATGCGCTGACTTACTTTCGGAACCTCTCACTGAGCTAATCAGTCGCTCCATTGATTTTGGTGAAGTACCTAACTTGTGGAAGGAAGCTATTGTTATTGCAATCCCAGAAACTGCATCTGCCTCTACGGTATCTGAATTTTCGTCCCATAAATCTTACGCCCACTTTAATCAAAGTTATGAAAAGAATCACCAGAAGGAAATTGTTTTGTTGGCTAAGAAATTTCCGCCCAATCCCTCTTGAGCTTCATGGTTTTTTATCTGGAAGGTCAACTACAACTAATCTTGTTGCAAGTTTTTGATTGGAGAAAAGCCTTCAATGCTGGGTTATCTGTCAATGTTGTTTATGTGGATCTATCACTATTATCTAAGCTGCAAGGCTATGAAAGTGATGGAAATTTACTGCAATGGTTCCGATCCTATTTTGAAAACAGATTCATCACAGTCAAGGTTGGACAGTTTTTTTCCAAGAAATATCAACGTACAGTGGTGTAACCCAGAGTTGGTACTTTCATCTCTTCTTTTTCTGATCTTTACTATGAAGCTACCTTCTCCTTTGACTTTGGGCGGAGTGAGCGTGCTGATTTACGCGGATGACATTGAGCTGTATGTTTGTTATAATGAAGAGGATCATCATGCTATGCATGTTGCATTACAATCATTCATTGAAAGATTGCGATGGTGGGCAGCACGTAATGGTCTTTCTCTAAATCCTAGCAAGTGTGCTCCTTTCTACATTTTGGGAGAATAAGAGCTTTTGATCATGAAGTGAATGGTTACGTCTTAACAGTGTGTTTATTGATTACGGATCTAGGTGTTCTGATTGGTTCTCAACTAAAATGAACACATTGATCATGCCGTGCGGAAAGCGTACTCATCCCGTTTGCTATCTTTCGAAACATTTATTCATGTGATGAAAATACTCTCATCAGACTGTATAAAGCGTGTGTGTCCCTCACTTGGAGTATTGCTCTCAGGTATGGAACCCCTCATGTAGAAAGGAGACTTTGAAAGGTAAAAAAGTTCAGCGAGTATTTACGAAAATAATCTTATATCGCAAACAAATCTAGAGAAGACATTTCACCTTACGCAGAACGCATGAGGATGATGAGGTGTAATCGCTGATAAATACGAGAATAACGGCTAACTTACTTTTCTGTTTTCGTATACTGCGAAAAGAGTTGATCCGAGAGCTAGCTGGTTTTGGAACTTCAAACCTGCTAGTTGCAGACGTGGTGGATTTAACCCACACTATTCTAGGCTACAAAAAAGAGTCTATTCCGGTCTTTTCAACTCATGAACCTACCGCTTTCTCGCTGGCTCAATCGATTACCTCCCAAACTACTAGCTTCCAAACAGTTGGGCTTTTGAAAAGAGTTGGCTGAAGAGTGATGTACCTAGCGTTTTGCGTTGTGGGTCGTATCTCTTTTGACGTTTTCTCTTATTATTCGTTCAAGTTTGATTCTGGTGTTCAATAAGAGCAGCTTAATCAGTTGGACTTTGAAGTTCTATCTCTTCAACACTTTTTTCCATTGGTTTTTCCTTTCTTAAGTCTTTTCGTGCATGTGTCTTTCCTTTTTCTTGCTCTTTTCTCTTGCTTGCTTTGAAACTCTTCATTTATGGCCTGGTTAATTTATGTCAATTCAATAGCACGACGGCTGCTGGTCGTGAAATCAATAGAAATTGCTTCCCCTTTTCATGCTCTTTCTTGTCAACCGTGTGCATTTTTGACTTGTATTCAGAGATGCTAAAATATCCTACTTTTTCCTGCTTTGCATTTGTTCTTCTACTAACTTGAACTGAATTACGTAATTTTGAGCCCAGCCTGGGTGCTAAGTATACAGTTTGCTGACTCTGACTGCGCTTGCTGTATTGTGCTTTTGATTATCCTCGGAACTCAGTACTCTCCCCAGCAATCTGTGTTGGGCGGGGCTTGCCAGTATACTCTCCAGCCGAACTTTCGGTTTGCTTTTATGATTGATACAAAGATCGTTCCTTGCTGGCAAACGAGGGGGCATGGGCACTCTCCATTGAGTCTATGAAAGCACAAGATTATGTGCAACCCTGGTATATGTTACGCAAGCTTTTTACACTATTTCTGCATTATTTCTTTTTAGGTAAGTCGTCTAGACTAGGCTAAGGATGACGTGGTTTTTCGGTTACTGTTCTTTTTTATGTATAACTAACTGGCTGCCTTCGTTTCGTGACGCCTCGTGCGTATGAATGAAATGAAATGAAACTATTCTAAGCGATCGAAAAGGTGGATAATTTTCTAGCACT